GTGTGTGTGTGTGTGTGTGTGTGTGTGTGTGTGTGTGTGTGTGTGTGTGTGTGAGTGTGTGTGTGAGTGAGTGAGTGAGTGAGTGAGTGAGTGAGAACTAGGAGGGCCAAACACTGTTGTGGGAGGATTCACAAACCAGAATAATAGATTGATTGTTTTCAGCAGATAGATCAGACTTTTCACTGAAGAAAATGTTTCACAGGTTTGTTTTGTTCTGTTTGTGCTGGCTGATTGTCTGACTGGTAAGTTTTAAACTGTGAGCTTCATATGAACAGAAATGGAAAAAGCCCTTTACCCACACGCTATTCACATAGACACACAACTAACACCTCAAACATACACTCACAAACTGACATCGACCACAAAAATCTAGCAGTGTACATTCTCATGAAGAAGCCATTTATACGCCCAGCAGGTTGAAACATAATTTTTGTACAGCTGTAAATAAATCCAACCACAGCAGATTTCAATCTGACTCACAAACTGAGCTTTTAGTGGAGCCAGAGCTTCCAGGGGCCTCCAAAGAGAGTCGAACTCTATGGGCCATCTGACCACTCTGTATAGCAGTTGCTGACCGCTACTAAATAATGTGTTTCCTTGTTGTATTAGCCAAATTAACTCTAGGTGTGTTCATCTTCAGAAGGATTTAACCGAAAGGCGAGGTTTGCGGCTTAAATGAAAAAAACTACATGTGTAGTGATTGTCAACAATCCCAAAACTCATCTACAAGTTTGAAAGAACTTGTTGTCAGCAGGAGTTGTAATGGCTGTCGCAGGATTTTGCAGGTCTGGTATATTTGATCTTCTCATGGCGATCGGTGCATACTCTACTTGAGCTTCCTCTTTAACATTCTGTAAAAAAAATACAATAAATATATATATAGCCTATATACAATCTTACTGAAGATAGATTAGAGATTCAGGGTGAGTTTAGATAGACTATCTTTTTCTTTTTTTTTACTTGCAGTGATCAGGTTGAGAACTGAAATACTGTAAACGGTCTTTAAAATCTATTTAGGCTAATAATGCTTTTGGGAAATGCAGCCCAGGACAGTATGTACCTCTGACATAAAAACAGTGCAAAAATTTAGAGGTGCAACATCTTGTGACTTTAAAAAAAACGTAAATTAGACTGAATGCTAAATGAGATGAACAGCATACCTTTGGAATAAATTTGACTGTTTTATGCACTTTTCTGTTGTTGAATGTTGGCTCAATGTAAGTGATCTCTTCAGGAGTCTGAACTGTTTGAAAAATAATAATAGATGCATTAAACAACAATTAAATCTTAACTTGATCTACTTCACAACATATGTGTTGTTATTATAGGGCTGTAAAAGTTAAAACATTAAGGCACAAATGTAATGGTTAAGCAGCCCTATGTAACTTTTTCTGTTTAAAATTTGCTAAATGTATATAATGAGCGAGTACATCATGAATTCATCTTCCAAACCGCGTTTTTGTCTTATTCCGAATCACTACGGTACACTTATAATAAGTATCATCCATGTATGGATATAAACAGTTGGTGGCGGTATGTGCCTTCGGTGCGGAATACGCCCAAAAATCCCGAAGAAGTAGAAGAATGTAAGAAACAAAGTGAAGTTATGCATTTAACTTTAACAACCATTACAGACTCCATTACAGCAAAGCGAAAGAACTACTCCGTATCTATAATAGCCATCTCCTAGACATCAGCAGTTAAAATGATGAGAAGCAATGTGGTGATCATTCTGTTCGTTTTTCTCGTTGAAGGTAAGACATTAATTTGTGTATGTATTTTCAACCCTTTACGTTTTCCGCGATGAGAAATTACGCATTGTTAACTCTTTTCACAAACATTTCAAAATATTGTCTTTTATTTTATTTAGCGCTGTTTTAAACATCAGTATAATATATAAATAAAATGATTTTGCTCGTTAGCCTATATAAATCCTCTTTATATATGGATGATAATTGTTTGTTCTTCCTGTTTTGGACTGTAGAAATGGCAGACGAAAGTGACGCGGTTTTTTAAAGGGGTCCTATGCTCTTTTACAAAGTCTTGATTTTGTTTTGGGGGTGTACTAGAACAGGCTCTCATACTAGGTTGTTCGAGAAACACATAATTTTTTAAAAACATGTTTTACATTATTACAACACCTCTCTCCCCAGTTTGGCATGAAGGGCTCAAATAGTTCCTGTATCAAATGAAGGCCCGCCTTCTGAAATACGAAATGTGCTGTGATTGGATAGTTGGGCCAGTGTGGGTGTGTAACGGAGGCCAGCAGGTAATCACATCTGCATACCTCAGATTGAAAATAAGCGCCTCATCATCAAGAATGTCTTCTCTGATCCATATTCGGCCACCTGAGCCAGCTGGAATCTTGGTTGCAGTGGGACTTAACTGCAAATTATATTATAATGTTTACAAAATGTCAGGTCAGCCATTTTGCTAGCTAATGCCGTCCTCAACATGAGGCGAGATTATATAGTCAGAGCATTTGTCACTGAGAAAAAGACAAATTTTTGTTTTATCTTGCATTACAGATTTTATTTTCAGGGTTGCAAGTGTAACGGAGGCCAGCGGTAGGTGCTGTGCAGGTAAACCTCACTCTCCTGATCTCAAGAGACGCAGTGGCTGCAGTCATTTATCCTCCTTGTTAGTGCGTCCGCCTCCCATGCCGGAGACCCGGGTTCAAAACCCATTCGGAACAAGAATGAGGTGTGGCGGTGAGGACCCGGGAGAGAGGGGTAACATGTGTTGTGATTGGCAGCACTCAGCGCCTGGTCGGGAAATGTCATGCCCCTTACCATAGCTGCTTGCGAGCTTTAGTCTAAGGCTACGTCCACACTAGAGGTCGACCGATATGGGTTTTTCTCTGGCCGATGCCGATATTTAGAAATCAGGGCAGCCGATGGCCGATATATGCTGCCGATTTTTTTGGCCAATATGTTTGGCCGATTTTCTTTTTTCCCCCTCATTCATCTCATAAAAGTGAGTTTGAGCAAATGATTATTGCAGGGTACAAGATAGTAATGGTAGTAGTAGCCCAATTTAGAGTAGTAATACATGATTCAAAACTTAAGCACCTTCTCAAAACAGTTCTGAAGGATGCTTTTTGTTTATGTTTGCTGACAGACACCAGTGTTTCCCACAGACTGCAAATGAATTCTCTGCCAGCAGGAGGCGCTGCTGGAGCGGGAGATATAGCGGTTTCCACGGTAACGGCTGCTCACAAAGGCTATCAGGCATTACAGGAAAGACGAAATGATGTCTTGCACTGAGGAGAGGCTTCCGTCGGGCCACTCTGCCATAAAGCCCCGACAGGTGGAGGGCTGCAGTAAAGGTTGACTTTCTACAACTTTCTCCCATCTCCCGACTGCATCTCTGGAGCTCAGACACAGTGATCTTTAGGTTCTTCTTTACCTCTCTCCCCCGATAGCTCAGTTTTTGGTCTTCCCAAACGTCTTCCATTTAAGGATTATAGAGGCCACTGTGCTCTTAGG